AGAGGTCGCCTGGGGACTCGAGATGAGATGGTTGAACAGTATCTAGGGAAACACCCAGGGGCACCAGAGGAGGTGTGGAAGGGTCTGGTTTCTGTCCCTCTGGCACTGGAACTGTGACCTTGAATCAGAGAGGGGATGGACCAGATGGTGATTCCCATGTTTGTGTTACCTATGTTTGGGGGTGTGTCTCTCCATGAGAGATGCTCAGGGGTGCTTACCGCGCTCTGTGGACATAAGGAAGCAGTTCCCATTTTAAAGTTCAGCCTGTTTTGATGTAGGATGTAGACTCTGAGTGAATTGGTCATGGTTTCTGGAACTGCTAGAGAAATGGCTGAGAAGTGCTGGCTAGACCCTTCTGGGTTTGTTTGTGTTTCCTTGGGGAGGCGGGGGTAGGGCTGCAGGCAGAGCTACCCCCTTCCAACTCAGCTGGCCTGCCCTGTGCCAGGAGGGCAGGGAGTCTGGCACAGCTATTGTTCGTCTGTACAAATGCCCGTCTGTCTGTGTCTGGCCTGACAGGTGTGGCTGCGTGGGTAGCACGCTGGGTCCTAGGGTCTCTACCTGACTTTTTGCCCGAGGCTTAAGTGCCCCTTGTCCGCTTCACCAGGATGCTGCTCAGCCTCACTGTCCAGTGCTCCACCACCCTTCATTAAGCAGGGATGTCTAAGTGCCTTTGTGTGCTCGCTCAGGATGTCTCTCTCTTTTGTCTCTGGCTTCAGCTTTAGTGTCTGCTTTTGGCCACCTTCTTTTAGCCCCAGTCTTCCGTTTCCTTCCCCAGAGTGTCTGAAGGAGCTGGTGCAGACCATCTAAAGTCCTCCTCCTGGACTCCACCAGGAATCTTCTTTCTGCACTCCCCAGCCTCATAGATTTCCCCTGTGGAATTGAAACCAAGTTTGCAAGAACTGCACTGTCGAACAACAGCCCTTCCCTTCAGAACCAGGGTCTCCACTGACCAGAGCGGAACCGCAGGCTATTAGTCCCGGCGGACTCCGCTGATCAGGGCGGAGCCATAGGCTGTGAGTCCCCGTGGACTCCTCCAAGAGCCCTCTCTGGCTGTGGAGTCTTGAGGAAGAGGCCATCGCCGATTGACCAGTGAGGTTGATTGTGCCTAGCACACAATTCCCACAGAGGCCTTGGTATGGAGAGAGGAGGCCTGTGAGAACTCAGGCCTTGGGAGAGCAGCTCTGAGTGTAGCTTGGGAAGCCTGAGTTTAGGTTTGCCTTTACATGCATCATTGTTTTCCCTCAGCCTAGGGCGTAAGATGGAGAGAGACTGTCAGCACTCAGCACTGACGCTCCCTCCCCATAGCGGTGTGGAAGGAGGTTTTGAGTTGGTGTTCTGACCCCGAGGAAACCATCTGGGTCTCAGTCAGAGGAAGTAGGAGAGTGGGCTGGGGAGTGCTCCAGGACGTGGGAGAGGAAAGACAGAAAGGAGACTGAAGTTCCTAAGGTTCTCATGGGCAGCCAAGGGCATGCGCAGATCAGGGGTGCTGCTGGAGACCCTGCTTTTTTCCCTCCGTTTCTGAACACACGTTGGGTATGCCTGCTGTACTCGAGGCTCTGTGCTAGGGATGGGTCTTAGGGATGAAGGTTGGCCTCGAACTCCTGATCTTTCTGCTTCAACCTCCCTCATGCTAGAATTATAGGAGTAGGCCACAACACCCAGCTCTGTTCCGTTCAGTTAATCCAACATGTGGCATTTGCCTGGATCATGTCAGTGAGCAGGGAAGACTTTCCGGATCTGTGGAGGAGCAGATCAGGTAGAGCTGGACAGCGGAGGGTTGGGTCCAGCAGAAAGGGCTCTGAGCACTGGGGTGGGTGTTTTCTGGGGAATGACAGGTCTCTTTTGCCCCTGTGGTGCTGGGATTGAACCCAGTGCTCCACATCTACTAGACTGTTAAACCCAGAGCAACATCCCCTGTCCTTTTTAGAATCTTCCTGAGACAGAGTCTTGCTAAGTTGCCCAGGCTGTCTTTGAACTGTCCATCCCCCCACCTCAGCTTTCCAAGTAGCTGGCTTCCAGGTGTGTGTATGACCCCTAGCTGTGATAGGCCCTTTCCTGGTGGACGTACAGGCATGAAGGAGATGAAGGACTGTCCTGCTTGCTGTGTGTTAAATGGAAGACAATGAATCAAGTCACCCCCCCCCAAGCAGTTCCCATGTCATTCCATTTTACACAGCTTGAGCCTTGGGGCGGGGGCTCAGTACAGCCATCTCTGGGACAATAGTGTTAGGCGGTGCCAGGGCAGCTTGCTGCTGGGCAGTGCCAGCGCTGGGATGTGCTGCTGCTGCTGCCGCCACCCGCTGCTTGCACACCTAGAACAGGGGCCACTTCGAGAGAGGGTGAGTGTCGCAGGTGGAAGGCGGGGACCAGAGCTACCGGTGTCTGTATGGGCAGTAATGCCAAGGAGGAAAAGGGCCACGAGAGTCCTTTCCTGGCCCAGTCCTTTCTCCCTTGGCCACTCCCAGCAGGATTGTCCGAGCAGGTAGAACAGAGAACCGTGTGGAAAGAACCTGTCGTAGCTTTAGAACGTATCTGTAAGCACACATTCTTTTAGGGAGTGGCCCTTGCCAGGCTTGATGTTCTGTGTACTGCTAGTCTCAAGTTCACTTGCATGTTTGTTTTTAATTAAAGTGTCATACATGCTCGTACTATAGATCAGTGTCCTAGAGATGGCGGAGAGGTGGAGAGAGAGAGAGAGAGTGAGAGAGAGAGAGAGAGAGAGAGAGAGAGAGAGAGAGAGAGAGAGAGAGAGAGAGAATATGGTCGTGGGAAGAGGTATTTAGACTTGGCCTTTAAAGTTCTACAAGATGAATTTGAGGTGACTTTGATCTAAAAACAATCCAATTAAAGCGCTACACTTTCCCAGTGTAGACCAGTGGAACACTTTTCTAGTGATTCAGGCAGGCAGAGGAAGCTGAAGTGTCTGAGACTAGAGTCTGAGGGAGGGGGGTCCCTTAGGAGAGGAGGAGTCACTGCAGGAAGCAGGGAGGCCCTGTGCATTAGTGAGAAGTAGTTGCCTGAGGTGGAGGCATGGAGGAAAAGTGCCTGAGCCAAAGATGGAGGACTAGGAGAGAAGAGCGAGGCAGGGAGAGAAGGGGAGGCGCCCTGGCCTGGTGGGGGTGTCTCTAAGTCCAGTGCTTGCATGCTGAGGCTGGAGGATCGCCTCTACTTCAAGGCCAGACAGGGCTACATAGTGAGACCCTAACTCAAACAAACCAGTAGAGTGGGGGGTGGGGAATGAGTGGTGGCGGTGGAGAGGAAGCGTAAGGGAATGACCTCCAGACCACTGGGCTGTGTCACCCTCATCGAGGGCCAAGACAGACGGATCTTGGTCCAGGACACCTCAAGACCTAGGGCACTGTGGTCCATTGCTCTCTGGCCCCTGCACTGCTGACTCAGCATCTTCACACTTCCCCTTTTCCCCCATCCTCCCCCACTCTGATGCCAGTGTGGTTAGTGGTGTAGGCAGGGCTGGTCCTCCAGGACCAGGCTGAATGTTTGTTTCACCAAATTATGATTCTCTGTTCTAGGGTCCCAGCCAGTGTCCTCCATGCACAGTCTCAGCCACCTGCCCTGTGTCCTTGTCCTCTAACACGTTTATTTAAATTAATTAATTAATGTAGGCACCAGGTGTCGCTATAAAGCCCCAACTAGCTTGGAATTTGCTCTGTGTGTCTCAAGCTCAGAGATTCTTGTGCCTTTCTTCCTGAGTGCTGGGATTAAAGCCATGCCCCTCTGTTCCAGCTGTCCCGCCCTTTCTAATTATTGGGTATGTGCTGTGATGTGACTGTGGGTGTCGGCTTGGTTCCTCCACCGTGTGGGGCCTGGGGAATGAGCTGGGTCATCAAGTGTGGCCGCAGGCACCTTTGCTTTTGTGCGCCCTCTTCTAACCTGTTTGCTTGCTTGTTTTTGGTGTTGTTTTGAGATTGGGCCTCATATCATCCATGTCACTATACAGCAAAGGATGCCCTTGAGCTCCCAAGCTTTCTGCCTCTGTTTCCTAAGTGCTGTGTGTGTGTGTGTGTGTGTGTGTGGTGTTTTTCTGAGTCAGTTGTTCTGTAGCCCAGGCTTGCTGCAATATCCCTGTCTCAGTCTCCCGAGTGTAGGAATTCATAGGCGTGAGCTACCACAGCCAGCGTTGTCTTTTCACCTTTTTCCGGGTCTTGGAAAAGTCAGGAGTTTGGGGAGGAACAGAAAAGGAAGTCAAGGACTCTTGCAGAAGCTGGAGGAAGTGGGAGAAAGCTTAAAGGGAAAGGCATGCCTTGGGGACAAGAAGTGACAACGGTACTGTAATCCCAGCATTGAGCAGTGGAGACCGTAGTATCTGGAGTTCAGGGGTGTTCTTGGCTAGGCTACTTCAGCCCCTCCCCCCCATACACACTGCCAGAGAAGGATCTTTTGAACTTCAAGTATAAGAGGAGAGTTAGAGGTTTGGGGTCCAGGCCTCTGGGTTGGGGGTGGCTGAAGATGCACTCTGTCCCCCCAGCCAATCTAATAAGGGGATCTCCTGCTTTCCCATTCCTGCTCCCCCATGACTGCTTTGAAGACAGCAGCTCCAACACCCGTTGTCATGGTTATGAGAGGAGCTAACTCCCATAGATTGGAAAGCGCTGGTGAGCTGGCACCCTCTGCTTCGCTGGCCCTCCCCTCCTCTCTGCGCATCTTCCCCCAGCACAGAGAGCGCTGCACAGCAGCCGGGGGCGAGCAGAGCTAAGCCTGGGAGGTGGAGTGAGGACGCAGAGATCTAGAGCTAGGGAGATGAGTGGCAACAGGAGGCAGCCCAGTCGCCGGGGTCAGGTAGGTCAGAGGCCGAGGAACCTTAGGGACTGACTGTCCCAGGGCCTGGTCATGCCCGGACAGCCATCTCCGACACCCATGCACGACAGGTTATGCTCTGGCGATTGGTGTTATTCTACCCTGGCATTTCAGCTTTTTTCTCTGAAAGCCGGGTACTTAGGCGTCTAATGTCTTTCAACTGATGTCTTTCGACCTTTCCACAGGCCCGGGAAAAAGAGAAGATGAAGGAAGCCAAGGATGCTCGCTATACCAACGGCCACCTCTTTACCACCATCTCAGTCTCGGGCATGACCATGTGCTATGCCTGTAATAAGAGCATCACAGCCAAGGAAGCCCTCATCTGCCCAAGTAAGTGGTTTGGCCCCCGAAGGTCACTCAGACGTGGTCACCATCAACCCTAGTCCTGCCATCTGTCCTTGCCATTCTGGATCCTTAAAGGGACTACTTTCTGGGCCCCAGCTGGGCTTGGTCCCACGCTCAGGTGCCTTGTCCCTTGCTGTCTTTCCTCGCACTGGGTGGTGGCTGCTGGAATGTGGCATACGCTCTCGGGTGTGGGGTGACAGAGGCTGGGGTTGCTCTCCTTCCAGCTGTCCCTTGCTGGGCATCCCCCTTGCCCCCCGAACAGCTGTTGACAGGAATGTGCACTTGAACCGGGGCGGGAGGGAGCTTGCAGCTGCCTCTGCCCATCTTCCTCGGCCACACTGGACATTTTAGACTTTCTGTTGCGTGTGGGTGGAATCCGGAGTCTGTGCCGATTCAAGGACAAGATGGAATTAGGCTCGTCTGTTTCTTTATCCCTGATAAAGAAATGCAGCAGAGACCTGTGTAATGGAGGGAAGGACTCAAAATTCCTAATCTTTCCCATATCCAACCTTTAACCTGTTCCATGGTGGCCCTGTACTGAGGGGACATAAGGAAGGAATTGCTGCCTCCTTAGGGTTCCAGTGCAGAGGGCTCCAGCTCCGCCCTGCCCCCTCTGCAGCCCCCATGCCTCCCTCTGAGTAGAATGGGAGGGTTGTAGCCTGACCCTGACCACAACAACCTGGCTCCAGCCTCCAGATCCCTTCATGACTTTGGGAAGGAACCTAAGAAGAACTAATGGGGCCCTGCCTCCCTACTTTTTACCGCTTGATTTAGAGCTAAAAGGACAAGGAGGTAACCCCAAGCTAGATCCCTCTAGAGACCTGACAAAATACTCAATCCGGAAGCTGTTGCCAGGGGAACTGGGGAGGTGGGTAGCTCTATTTTGAGAGCAGGTGGAAAGCGGAGGTTTGATCCAGAGACACTAGGTGTTGGGGGTGGGAGAAGGGAGCTCCGGGGGGTGGGCACTGCCACAGCCCTGCTTCTGTCGTCCCCTTCTGCCCCACCCTGTGCGCTTGTATTTGTGGAAGTAAGCATGGTGCTGGGCATTGTCTGCAGTGTTAGCAGTTTCCTGTGGTGTTTGGGGTGTGTGGCGGGGAAGCTTCAGAGCCGAAGGCATGTCAGGAAGGGGACAGCCATGGTCCTGAGCCTGGGCTCTGCTATTCCTTTTTCCTTTCCTGCTTCATGGAGAGGTGGGGTGGGGGATGGGCAGAAGCAGATGGAGTGTGGGAGCTGTAGTTTGCCTCAGTGTGGGGGGCAGAACTTCCCAGGCCTAGAAGGGAGAAAGCAGCCTGAATGGAGTCGATGCGGAAGACTGCGACACTGGGAAAGGGAAGGGCCCCGTTCCAGACTTTGAAGCAATGAACAGAAGCCACTAGCATATATGTGAAAGAGTATGGCGTGTGTGTGTGTGTGTGTGTGTGTGTGTGTGTGTGTGTGTGTGTGTGTGTGTGTGTGTGTGTGTGTTGTTTTTTGAGACAGGGTTTCTCTGTATAGCCCTGACTGTTTAGGAACTTGATTTATAGACCAGACTTTTCTGGAACTCACAAAAATCCACCTGCCTCTGCCTCCTGAGTTCTGGGACTAAAGGCGTGCACCACCACCACCTGGCAAGAGCATGGTTTTGGATTCAGGCACATCTAAGTTTAGTTCTTGGCTCTCCACCAGCTGGGTGACCTAGGCTAGCAAACACTATGAAGACCACATTCCTCATCTGTGAAGCGAGGCTGTTGAGTGAAATGGGTAGGGAGCTCTCCCAGGGGCTAAGGGGCGTCTGGCTCTCTCTGCCACTGCTGGTCTTGGGAGCCCCATGCTCCTCTGCCAGAGCCATCTTTACACCTTCAGCTCTTCTCAAGCAGCTGCAGACACCTTCTGCATTGCCCACATCAGACCCCGCTCACTTCCATTCCTGCCTGAAGGATGAGGGAGGCAGGGGAGGGATTAACATGTGACAATGGGCAACAATTCTGGGAAGCTGGGAGAGTGTCTGCAGAGTGTATGGCCTAGGAAGTTGGGTGTTTACATGTGGGTGTGTCCCCTCCTGTGCCACCCAGCCCTCCCTTCACCCTCTCTACCCCACCCTCCCAGCCTGCAATGTGACTATCCACAACCGCTGTAAAGACACCCTGGCCAACTGTACCAAGGTCAAGCAGAAGGTGAGAGGGCGGGGCGGGCAGAGGGCGGGGGAGGGCAGTGAGTGCCCTGCCTGTCCAGTCGTTCCCTACCCTTGTCCCTCTCCTTGCCACGGGGCGGCCCAGACCTGCCACCTTAGGCCACAGGCCTACAGTAAACATAGCCCTGCCACGCTAGCTTGCCCACCTCGATGCCCTAACTACAGTGTTAGCTTTCTCCCAAGGGGGCAGCTGCTAGGCCCTGGCTTGTCCTGGGTGTGTGTGGGTAGTCTCTGGGTGACAGCTGTTCTTGGTGTCTCTTTTGCTCTGTGTCTCACAGCAACAGAAAGCTGCTCTACTGAAGAACAATACTGCCTTACAGTCTGTTTCTCTTCGAAGTAAGAGTGAGTAATGGGAAGTCCCCATGAGCCACAGGACCACCATGCTCCTGAGCTCATGGGCTCTGCTGCCCCCATGAGGTCATACCCAGACACAGACAGCTCCTTTTGAATGGGAGTGGCAAAGGGATGGTCCTCATGGGCTTACTATCAAGATAGACAAGTCCAAACGGGGATGAGGGACAAGGATGGCTGGTTACTTGAACCTTAAACATCCTGTTATTGTTGTCACTTATCTACTCTTTATTTGGAAATTATTTGAGGCAACTGTCAAGTGTCAGTTCATAAAAAGTGTGGTGTCCAAGTTCCTTCTCACCAACTTGGGTCACTCCGGGCCTGCCTTACCTTTCTGGCCTTCAGCTTGCTCATAGGCTTGTCTGGGGTTGAGAACAGGTTTTTAATTCATGCTGACGGGTTGCACATTGGACAGTGATAATCTCTTGATTGGTTTTGCCAACTTTCTCTGACTCTAAAGAGTGGAGGACAGGCCAGGGTAGTTTGCCTTAGTTCGACTTGAGGGGCCTGGGAGACCAAAGGGCTGAGGAATTCAATTTTTTTCCTGCGTGGTCTCCTTCCTTACAGCAACCACCAGAGAGCGGCCAACCTCTGCCATCTACCCTTCTGATAGCTTCCGGCAGTCCCTCCTGGGTTCTCGGCGTGGCCGCTCCTCTTTGTCTTTGGCCAAGAGTGTTTCTACCACAAACATTGCTGGGTGAGCTTCTGTTTGGGGAAGAGGGGGTGCGGGAGGAGGGGGTACAAAGCCCACGACAGCACCTCTCCTTTCCCCGAATTCAGAGCTGAGCCAGATATGTGAAAGCTAAGCTCAGACACAGAGTAGCTATCCTCAGGGGCTCAACCTGGGGTACTGACCTGGGAAGGGACCTCCAGCCCGAGTGGGGGTGATGCAGATGGCCTCCACTTCCTTCAGACATTTCAATGATGAGTCTCCCCTGGGGCTGCGTCGGATCCTCTCCCAGTCCACAGACTCCCTCAACATGCGGAACCGAACCCTGTCCGTGGAATCCCTTATTGATGAAGGTGAGCAGGCGCGGCGTGGAGGAGAGGAGGGTTGGCATGGCTGGTGTGAGAAGCCTGGGATTGGGAGGGAGGGAGAGGACCCAGCGAAGGGCCCAGGTCCTGGAGAGGAGAGCTGCCCTCTGAGGGCCCGCCGGCACTGGTCCCCAGGTGCAGAAGTGATCTACAATGAACTGATGAGTGACTTTGAGATGGATGAGAAGGACTTTGCGGCAGATTCGTGGAGCCTTGCCGTGGACAGCAGCTTCCTGCAGCAGCACAAAAAGGAGGTCATGAAGCAGCAAGATGTCATCTATGGTAAGCCAGGGCTCTGCTCTTCCCGTCCTTCACCAGACTCAGCTTGCCTGCGCCTTCCCTCTGCCACCACCTGTCAGGACACTGCCCTTGGCCTCCATGTTCCCGGCTGGCACCAGGTTGTCCCTGTGTATCTACTTGGTGCTGTTGGGCTTTTTTTGTTTGTTTATTATATATACAGTTATCTGCATGCATGCTTGCACACCAGGAGAAGGCACCAGATCTCATTACAGATGGTTGTGAGCCACCATATGGGTGCTGGGAATTGAACTCAGGACCTCTGGAAGAGCAGCCAGTGCTCTTAATCTCTGAGCCATCTCTCCAGTCCCCACGGTTGGGCTTTTTAAAATCTTATATTTCTTAGAGAAGGGTCTCACTGTGCAGGCCAACCTGGTCTCAAACTCTCAGTTGTGCCTCAGCCTCCTGAGCTCTGCGAATGCAGGCACGAACCTCTATACCCAGCTCCCAAGGACCTACCTGTATCTCTTCCTCACTCGGTCCTCAGTCTCCACTCCGCCTCTCCCACGCCCAGCACTGCTCAGAACTGGGAAAGCTACACACCAAACACACATGACTCTTCCCCTCAAATAGTTTTACAGCTTGAGATGACATAGTGATAAATACAAACTCAAAAATGTTCTTAAGATAACAGCGATACAAATATTAACTTGGAAGAGACTCAACTAGGGCGGCATGAATTGTGTCCAAGGTAGAGTACAGGGACAAATGTCCCTCTGTCTCGTAGAGCTGATCCAGACAGAATTGCACCATGTGAGAACACTGAAGATCATGACCCGCCTCTTCCGTACTGGGATGCTGGAGGAGCTGCAGCTGGAGCCTGGAGTAGTCCAGGGCCTGTTCCCCTGTGTGGATGAGCTGAGTGACATTCATACACGCTTCCTCAGTCAGCTGTTGGAAAGACGGCGCCAGGCCCTATGTCCAGGCAGCACCCGGAACTTTGTCATCCATCGTTTGGGTGACTTGCTCATCAGCCAGGTAGGAAAAGGCAAGACTCCTGGATGATATTTGTAGAGGGAGTCAGGACACGAGTGAGCATTCTTGTTTTGAGACAGGATCTTATGTAGCTCCGGCTGTCTGGGAACTCACTATGCAGACCAGCCTGACCTCCAGCTCACAAACATCCACCTGGCTCTGCTGAGTGCTGGGATTAAAGATGCACACTACCAGCCGGGCGGTGGTGGCGCACGCCTTTAATCCCAGCACTCGGGAGGCAGAGGCAGGCAGATCTCTGTGAGTTCGAGGCTGGGCTGGACCGATAGCCTCCGAAACAGTACAGAGAAACCTTGTCTCGAAAAACCAAAAAAAAAAGATGCACACTACCATACATGGCTTTTTCATTGAGAAAAATTATGTGTGCACGAGTGTGTGTGTGTATGTGAGTGTGCATGTATGCATGTGCATGTATGCATGTGTGTGTGTATGTGAGTGTGCATGTATGCATGTGCATGTATGCATGTGTGTGTGTATGTGAGCGTGCATGTATGCATGTGCCTGAACAGGATTGCACATGAGCAGGTGGAGATCAGAGGACAAGTCTAGGAGTTGGTTCTTTCCCACCATCTTGTTGGCCAAAGAGCGATCAGTTCTTACCTTCAGCCCATTCTGGTGGCAGGAAGGGAAGCTGGGGAGAACTGGAGAGGAGGCAACTGTCTGACAGGAGGCCAGAGGTGCGCTGAGGGGTGAGGTATGGCTCTGCAGGAAATGCTGACCTGGTCTTGCTGTCCTGACTTCCAGTTCTCAGGTTCCAATGCGGAGCAGATGCGCAAGACCTACTCAGAGTTCTGCAGCCGCCACACCAAGGCCTTGAAGCTCTATAAGGAGCTGTACGCTCGAGACAAGCGCTTCCAGCAGTTCATCCGGGTAAGAGCGCATCTCCAGGCAGGCTCAGCCTTCTCACGGCCCAAACCTCTCCCATCCCTAGGGCACATGCCCGCTGTGCGTGCATAGAGGGCAGGCACTCGAGCACACTCCTGGACCTTGTGTGCTCTTTGTTTTTTTTTGGTTTTCGAGACAGGGTTTCTCTGTGGCTTTGGAGGTTGTTCTGGAACTCACTCTGTAGACCAGTCTGGCCTCCAACTCATAGAGATCCTCCTGCCTCTGCCTCCCCAGTGCTGGGATTAAAGGCGTTTGCCACCAATGCCCGGCTCCTTGTGTGCTCTTAAATCTCTGTCTTTTTGTTTGTTTGTTTTGTTTTTTGTTTTTGAAACAGGGTCTCATTATATAGCCCTGGCTGTCATAGAACTCATTATGTAAGCCACACTGGCCTCAAACTCACAGAGATCCATCTGCCTTCTATGAGCCATACCCAACTCACTCTTAGATCTTGTCAATAGCCACCCTTTACTGGGCAAATGATATTGGACTAGTTTTCATGTCCTTATTGATTTGGTCACCACAGACCTGTGACATTCTCTTTCCAACTTCCCAGAAGCTGTCTACCCAGGCCAACATGGGGCAGATGCCCGGGTGAGCCAGCTTCAGAGCCAGCTTCAGAGCTTGGGCTCCCAGTCTTTCTGTCCCCTTAGTCTTTCATGTTCCCTTCCAGAAAGTGACCCGCTCAGCTGTGTTGAAGCGACATGGAGTTCAGGAATGCATTCTGCTGGTGACTCAGCGGATCACCAAATACCCAGTGCTCATCAACCGGATCCTGCAGCATTCCCACGGTGAGGAAGAAGGGGCACGGAGGGCAGGGCCTGCCTGGAGACGTCCAGGGGAAGCAGCCAGCAGCCGGGCTGGGTGGGGAGCGCTGAGCAGTCTCAGGTAAAACCTCCTCTCACGCTGGACCTCTGGTGTCGCCAGGGATTGAGGAGGAGTGCCAAGACCTGACCACAGCTTTAGGGCTAGTGAAGGAGCTGCTGTCCAACGTGGACCAAGATGTGCACGAGCTGGAGAAAGGGGCCCGCCTGCAGGAGATCTACAACCGAATGGACCCTCGGGCTCAGACCCCCGTGCCCGGCAAGGGCCCCTTCGGCCGAGAGGAGCTTCTGCGGCGAAAGCTTATCCACGATGGCTGTCTGCTCTGGAAGACAGCCGCAGGTCGTTTCAAAGGTCAGTGGGCCCCCCCTTAGCAGGCTTGATAAGTCATAGTTAGGTAATCTGAATGGAATTTGCAGCCACCCTTTGGGACTGTTTTTGCAGCCGTTCACCAAGGGTGAGATTCAGAAGGGAAAGAGGTGACCCATTGTTGCAGAAGTCTAAGCTCTGCGTTTGATAGCATGGGCCAGCAGGGACTTCTTCTTTGAATGCATTCATTTCTGTGCGCTGTAGATGGCCATAGAGAGACAGATCAGAAGGAGAGTCGTCCAGCCACAATCCCAACTGCTAGGACAACAGAAATACATCTGGGGGACCCAGAGTGGGAACTGAGCGCTGAAGGACAGGGAGGTTGGAAAAGAGAGAGCAGACTTCAGGACCTTGTTGAGGGATCCTGGCGTTCTTCCGCAGGCTCGCTTAGTAGAAATTGTCTGCACCGGTAAAGTCCTGGCACCTAGATCAGGACAAGAAAATACCACATCTAAACTTTGGCTTAGAGGTGAAGGGTGGGAGCTACCCAAAGCCAGAGCCATATGAAACTCCACCTGTGCTGTGAAATTCTACTCCTAGGGCCGGGCACTGTCAGTCTTTACCAGGCTTTTTCCTCCATCCATTTCTCTCCTTCCCATCCCTCCCACGCAGCAGCTAAGAATATAAAGCATTGAGGATTAAAAATAGCAAGGCTGGAGAGCGCTATTTCTGAGCGATTAGCAAAAGCCCTCCCTCCCCTTCTGTGTCCACAGTTTAGTAAAATCCCCTCAGGCAAAGGGTGACTGTGTGTTCTTAACGGTGGCATTCAGGTCTTTATGAAATTGTTCTTTGGTTCCTTCCTTCCTGTGAGTGCAGGGCCCATAGGATCTGAGGGGGTGGGGCAGAAGAAAATGAAGCCGTGCTTGCTGGGGTTAGAGATGAGATTAGTCAGAGGTGATGGGTGCACTTTTTTCCTACTTAACTGGAAGGGAACTAACTTTGTCCCTCTGCTGTGCAAAAAGTAAGAAGCAGTGTCAGTTCATCAGAGTACCTAAAAAGGGGGCCTAGGGAGATGGCTCAGTGGTTGAGCACTGGCTGCTCTTCAGAGGACCTGGGTTCAATTCCCTGCACCCACACAACAGCTGACAACTGTTTGTAACTGAGTTCCAGGGGATCCTACATCTTCATACAGACATCGGTGCAAGCAAATAAAACCCAATGTACAAAAAATAAAAATAAATAAATTTAGCCAGGCAGTGGTAGTGCATGCCTTTAATCCCAGCATTTGGGACTCAGAGGTAGGCAAAGCTCTGAGTTCGAGGCAGGCCTGATCTACAGAGCAAGTTTCAGAACAGCCAGGATTACACAGAGAAAAGCAAAAAAAACAAAAACAAAAAACAAAAAAAAGAAAGAAAGAAGGAAAGAAAAAAAAATTAAATCAGGGAGGGCCTCTAGAGATGTCACAGTGGTTAGGAGCACTGGCTAGGGCTGGAGAGATGACACAGACGTTAGTACTTTTTTTCAGAGAGTCTGGGTTGCCTTCCCAGCACTCATGGGACAGCTCACAAGTTGCAACTATGTAACTCTAGTTCCCGCTGGGGGGGGGAACACATCAATGACCTCTTCTGGCATTTGAGGGCATTGTATGCACGGGGTGCATATACACGCATGAGGCAAAATATTTACACATATAAAATAAATTTATTTAAAGAATCAGAACTGGGTGATTTAGATTTTTGTTGTTGTTGGTTTTATTTATTGGTTGTTTGTTTCTTGTTTTCTATTTATTTTTTAGACAGCATCTTTGCTATGTAGACACTGGTGGGCCTAGAATGCCCTATGTAAGCCAGGCTGACCTCAAACTTTTAGAGATTTGCCTGCCTCTGCCTCCTGAGTGCTGGGATCACCACATGTGGCCCAAACTGGCTGAGTCAAAGAAAAAAGAGCAACAACAACTCTGAACCAGTTGAGTTTCTTTGTGCTCCCTGCTAGTCCGAGAGGCTGTTTTATCTGGTAGCACACACATCTCTGCCTTCTCCATTGCCATGTTGTAAAAATGAGACGGTCGGGCTGTTGAGATGGCTCAGCGGCTAAGAACACTGGCTGGTCTTCCAGAGGTCCTGAGTTCAATTCCCAGCAACCACATGATGGCTCGAGACCATCTATAATGAGATCTTGTGCCCTCTTCTGGCCTGTAGGGATACATGCTTACAGAACACTGTATACATAATAAATAAAAAATTAAAAAAAAAAAAAGAATGAGACGGTCAGCTGGGTAGTGATGGGGCACACCTTTAGACCCAGCACTCTGGAGACAAAGGAGGCAGATCTCTGAGTTTGAGGCTAGCCTGGCCTACAGAGTGAGTTCTAGGACAGCCAGGGCTACCCTGTCTTAAACAAACAAGCAAACAAAATATATGAGGAGGTTAGAGGTCAGGAAAGGTGAAGGAAGGGAAGAGAAACCAGGTGGAGAAGGCTGGGAATCACCTTGAATAAGTTGGAACTGGTCCTCAGGGAGGAGGCAAACCGTTGCATTGAGCCTTTCGTGCCAGTTTCCAACTTTGTGTCTTGGCCAGATGTGCTGATGTTGCTGATGACAGATGTGCTCGTGTTTCTCCAGGAAAAGGACCAGAAGTACATCTTTCCTGCCCTGGTGAGCCCTCCCTCTGTTCGCTTATCCGTTGCTCTTCTTACCAGGCCCCAGAAAGACTTGCCTCACATACCTATTGTAATTCTATGTAGTAGACGGTAAGAGTAGCTACCAGGTGTTACTGCTGTGCACAGGCATGCTTATCCTGTGAGGAAAGCCCATCATTAGCATCATTTTGTAGATGATGAAGATAAAGCTTAGAAGCCAGATACAGTGGTACATACCTGTAATGGCAGCACTTGGGAGTTAGAGACAGGAAGATCAGGAGTTCGAAGTCATCCTCAGTCACATGGTGAGTTCAAGTCTGGCCTAGACTATATGAGACCCTGCCTCTAATAAATAAATAGTAAGTGAATTATCATGGAATGGTAGAGCACACTTTTAATCCCAACGCTTGGTAGGCACAGGCAGGTAGATTTCTGAGTTCAAGCCTAACCTGGTCTATATAGGGAGTTCCAAGCCAGTCAAGGGTCACAGAATGAGACCCAGTCTCAAAAAAAAAAAAAAAAAAGCATGCAGAAGCCTATAATCCCAGTACTGGGAAAGCAGAGGTGTGAGGATTGTGATTATCCTGGGCTACATAGTGAGTTCAACAAAAGTTTAGGTTACTGGTCTACAAGAGCTAGTTCCAGGACAGCCTCCAAAGCCACAGAGAAACCCTGTCTCGAAAAAACCAAAAAAAAAAAAAAAAAAGTTTAGGTTACATACTGAGCTCCTGGGGAGTGTGGGGGGTGGAGGGAGAGCATCAGGGTCTCACATGCACTTCTAAATCTTGGCTGGCACTGACACCTGGGCTCTAGCATATACAGCTCATCTTCAGTCCTTTTGGTATTCTAGGACTAGAAGCCAAGATATTAAGGGTTAGGATTCCCAGTCTTAATTCTTCCTTTTCCCTGATAGGACAAGCCTTCGGTGGTATCCTTACAGAATCTAATCGTAAGGGACATTGCCAACCAGGCGAAAGGGATGTTTTTGATCAGCGCTGCCCCGCCTGAGATGTATGAGATGCACACAGCGTCCCGAGATGACCGTAGTACCTGGATCCGTGTCATTCAGCAGAGCGTGCGCGTGTGAGTGTGTGCCTGCTGCCTGTGTGTACATGTCGCCTCAGGTCCTAGGTAGAAAACTCCCCGGGAACAGAACCCATCCTGAGGGGCAGGGGCAGAGGCTGGAGAAAAACAAGATGGACCAAGATGGAAAGATATGTGGAGTTACAGTTTATTCTCAGACAACCCTGCCACTCCTCCAAAGAATTCTGAACTGACAAGGGGTTACGTAGAGTGCTTACATGGTGTCATACCTACCTGTTGCACTAACAGCACAAGGGGAAGAAGGCTCTTATTTGGTACATTTTCTTTTATTTTCTAAAAACGAAAGAATAAGATAATTAAAGCATCGATACTAATGAGTTGAGTACGGTTCATCCATAAACTCCTCACAGTAGATGCAAGTGTTAAAGCAGTAACTCCTTAGGACAGACGTTGGATCTGAAGTCGTCAGCCAAGGGTCAGTAGATGCTCAGGCAAAAAAAAAAAAAAAATGTTAGAAATAGCCTGGTGTGGCTTGAACTCCTATAACCCAATACCTGGGAAGTGGAGGCAGAAGAACTCGGGGTTAAAGGCCAGCCTTGGTGCATAAGGGGTTGGGCTGAGGTCTTAAAAGCTCCAAGTTAGTGATGTGGCTCACCTGCAGTGCTTGCCCAGCATTGTGGAAGCCCCGGGTTCTGTCCCCAGCACCACATAAACCAGGTGTGGGAACCTGCTAGAGAACCAGAGGCTGAAAACACTAATGGCAACAAAGAAGCTACTAGATGGATTCTTTTTTTTTCTTTTAAAGATTTATTTATTATGTGTACGACTTTCTGCCACCGTGTATTCCTGCATGCCAGAAGAGGGCACCAAATCTCATTACAGATGGTTGTGAGCCACCATGTGGTTGCTGGGAATTGAACTCAGGACCTCTGGAAGAACAGTCAGTGCTCTTAACCTTTGAGCCATCTCCCCAGCCCCGGATGGATTCTTAAAGACTGCTTTACCTACAGTCTTTCAAAGTTAGAGGTTGAATGCAGGACCTTGTGTGTACTAAACCCAGAGCAACATCCCCAGCAGGCTTTTTAGGACCTTCACAAACCTTAGGGCTAGTGGGTAGTGAGCAGCAGGGAGAATTGATGCAGAGTGGTGCAAGGTGTGAGAGGAATCGTCTCTCTAGAAGGGGCTCCTGTAGAGTGTGTGCAAAGGAGGGGACACTGGTTGCTGCTGTCTCCCGCAAACTCAACCTGCCTGTTACCCTGCAGATGCCCATCTAGGGAGGACTTCCCTCTGATCGAGACTGAGGATGAGGCCTACCTCCGGAGGATCAAGAGTAAGTTCCCTCCTGGGAGTCCGTTGATTTGCGGCATATCCATACAAAATACTACGCAACTCTGGAAAAGATGAAAGAGATGGCGAGGAGTCTCAGAGGTTAAAAGCACTGGCGTCTCTTGGAGGACCCAGGTTCGGTTCTCAGTACCGGTTGGTGACTTACAGTTGCCTGTAATTCCTAGGTGACTTACAGTTGCCTGTAATTCCTAGGTGACTTACAGTTGCCTGTAATTCCTAGGTGACTTACAGTTGTCTGTAATTCCTAATTTGACCACCTTGGTCATGTGCGTGGTGCATACACACACATACGGGCAAACTCTTCCATAAAAATAAATAAAACTTATGGAGAAAAAAGAAAGCTTCATGTAGACTGATAGAGGCCTACCTAAGGTTTAAAACCCTACCTAAGGAAGCCGGGCGTTGGTGGCGCACGCCTTTAATCCCAGCACTCGGGAGGCAGAGGCAGGCGGATCTCTGTGAGTTCGAGGCCAGCCTGGTCTACAAAGTGAGTTCCAGGACAGCCTCCAAAGCTACAGAGAAACCCTGTCTCGAAAAACCAAAAAAAAAAAAACAAACAAACAAACAAAAAAACCCTACCTAAGGTTACAAAAAAATGTATAAGATAGTGCAAAGAGATATTTGTTTGTGTCTGTGTATATGTGTATGTATATATATATATATATATAATCTACAGTGTCTATGTTCCAAGGGCATATAATGCCCCCTTCTGGCCTCTGAGAGCAGTGCATGCACATGGTGCATAGACATACAGGCAGGCAAGACACCCATAGGTATTAAAAATAAAGGTTAATGCCAAGTTTGGTGGCACAGTTCTAATCCCAGCACTTGGGTGGCAGAGTCAGGTGGATCTCTGAGTTTGTGGCTGGACTGATTTACAAATTGAGTTCTAAGGCAGCCAAGGCTGTTACAGAGAAACCGTATCTCAAAAAATAACACACACAAGGGTTTTTGTTTTGTTCTGGGGAATGCTCCGAGCCCAAAGCTAAGTCCTGCCAGTCTGCCTGTGCTGACTGTCCCCTGGCTGCTCGCCGCAGGCTCTTTGGGTCCTGGGGCCTTCCTTTCCTTCCGCACTGACCCGCTCTGCTCCTGCAGTGGAGCTGCAGCAGAAGGACCAGGCGCTCGTGGAGCTGCTGCAGGAGAAGGTCGGGCTGTTTGCGGAGATGACCCACTTCCAGGCAGAAGAGGATGGTGTCAGTGGGGTGCCCTTGCCAGCCCTGCCTAGGGGCCTTTTCCGTTCCGAGTCCCTTGAGGCCCCTCGAGGCGAGCGGCTCTTGCGAGATGCCATCCGCGAAGGTGAGGGCTCTTCTACGGAAGGGTCAAGACTGGTGACTCAGCCTCACATAATGAGGCCCCGGGCCAGGGCCATGTCAACCCCACAACTCATAAAGGCCCTTGAGGCTTTGTCCCGATCCCAATCCTGAGACGAGGTCCGACTTTGCTTTTGGGTGTGTCTCCCTCTGGCAGGCTCTGCTGCCCCTTGGACCTCTCTGATGTCCCTTGAATGCCACATGGCTGACTGAAACACCACTACCCCAGTGTGGACTGCCTAAACACTTGAGTGGTCGGTGTGTGTCTGGTGATTGCCCCCTGGTTTGACTCCTGTCCCCCGTCCCCTTCAGTGGAAGGCCTGAGAGACTTGCTGGTAGGACCTGGTGCCGACCTGCTTCTGACACCCCGAGAGCCAGCTTTACCTTTGGAATCTGACAGTGGTAACACCAGTCCTGGAGTCACTGCCAGTGAGTACGGGGCCTGACAGCAAGGTGGGGGTGGCTATAGAAGGGTGGGGCCCCTGAGGGAGGGGCACACACTGCTCCTCCCCCTCTCTTCTGCAACAGATGGTGAGGCCAGGACCTTCAATGGCTCCATCGAGCTCTGTAGAGCAGACTCGGATTCCAGCCAAAAGGTGGGTTCTTGGGCGAGTCAGGGAGTGGCTGGCCTGTGGGTCTCCAGTGGAAAGCTGCTGGGAGCTGCCCCCAAGTCTGTCTGTGCCTGCTGACTCCCCATCCTTGTCCATTTCTGCAGGATCGGAATGGAAATCAGTTGAGGTCACCCCAGGAGGTGAGATGGGAATTCTGTGGTAGATAAAGGAAAGTTCTCTCTGTCTGAGAAAGCCTCGCCCAGTCTGGGTGATTTAGGGGGAGTGTCTGCACTGAAAGTATGTCTCTGGACTTTATTATTATTTCCACACCCTCTTGACAACCTCTGGGCACTTATTCTAAGCTTGGGCATGACTGCTTCCATCCTTTCTCTATCCTCAGGAGGCGTTACAGCGATTGATCAATCTCTATGGACTTTTACATGGCCTTCAGGTCAGTGAGCCAGGGCTGGAATTGGGGGGAGGGGACAAGGGGTTGTGCCAGCCAGAGGTCTCCATGGTGGTGACAGTCATCCTACCAGGCCTCACTACTCCCCCAAACCAAGCTCCCTGGGTCCCAGGATTGGCAGACAGGTAGGTGGAAATTGCTTCTGAAACACCTTCTGGCCTCGTCCCATCCTCAGGCTGCCGTGGCCCAGCAGGACACTTTGATGGAAGCCCGATTCCCTGAGGGTCCTGAACGGTGGGAAAAGCTCTCCAGAGCCAACTCTCGGGACAGTGAAGCTGGCCGGGCAGCAGTTGCCCCCGTGCCTCCGGAGAAGCAGGCCACAGAGCTGGCGCTGCTGCAGCGGCAACACACTCTGCTGCAGGAAGAGCTGAGGCGCTGCCGTCGCCTGGGTGAAGAGCGGGCGACTGAGGCGGGCAGCCTGGAGGCCCGGCTCCGAGAGAGCGAGCAAGCCCGGGCCCTGCTGGAGCGGGAGGCGGAAGAGGCCCGGCGACAGCTGGCGGCCTTGGGTCAGAGTGAGCCACTTCCAGCAGAGGCCCCCTGGGCTCGCAGGTCTCTGGACCCTCGGCGCCGCAGCCTTCCGGCAGGCGACGCTCTATACTTGAGCTTCAATCCCCCTCAGGTAAGTTCTGGAGTGACTCTCGAGAATGTAAGAGCCTGCAGAACCTGAAGGACACTTGGTTGTTGGGCATTTAACCCCAAGTGACAGCGGACAACAGACAATACTAGTTGAGCAGTGGTAAAATGTCTTAGTTGGTAAAATACTTGCCATGTAAACATGAGAACCTGAGTTCAATCGCCCAGAACCGTTACTCAAAGGCTGATGGTACATGCTCACAATCCCAGTGAGGAGGAGGCAGAGACAGGTTCATCCTCTCCACTCTCTAGCTAACCAGCCCAGCCTCTTTGATGAGTTAGTTCCAAGCCAGCAGTAGGGCTGTCCCATGAAACAAAGTGGATGACTCAACTGGGCGGTGGTGGCGTACGCCTTTAATCGCAGCACTCGGGAGGGAGGCACAGGCAGGCGGATCTCTGTGAGTTTGAGGCCAGCCTGGTCTACAAGAGCTAGTTCCAGGACAGCCTTCAAAACCACAGAGAAACCCTGTCTTGAATGCCTCCCCCCCAAAAAATAAACAAAAACAAACCAAAAAACCAAGATGGATGACTCTTAAGGTAGACATCTGGTTTCCTTTTACACAGTGCACACACACATACAAAAACATACTAGTTACTGAAAAGAAATTTAAGGCAAGTTTAGTGGCAGAGTCCTCTGCAAATCTCCAGCACTTCCAACAAATACGCTCTGTTCTCCCAAGATTTCTGCTAGTAGACTATGTGGGGCACTGTGGGCCTTATTATACCTGGAGTCCATGCATGTGGAGGCTTAGACTAGAGAACCAACCTGACCCAGTGAATACAGAGAAGAGTGTCGAAGGCAAACATCTCACTGAGGAGATTATCAGTTGGCAGTAGATCTGCTGACCGGGGTGGGGACGGGTTCATTGTGACCCTCGAGATGAGGTGTGTTGGGGCCCACCAGTGCCTGCAGTCTTCACTCTGCTCATCTGATGGATTTGTGCCTTTGCTTTCCGTAGCCCAGTCGGGGCCATGACCGCCTGGATATGCCTGTGACTGTTCGTTCCCTTCACCGACCCTTTGAAGATCGAGAGAGGCCGGAGCTTGGTAGCCCCGAGGAGCGGCTGCAGGACAGCAGTGACCCTGACACAGGCAGTGAGGAGGAAGGCAGCAGCCGGTTGTCCCCACCCCACAGTCCACGAGGTGAGACCCTCGTGGGGTTGTGAGGTCTGGGCCCAAGCCCTTGGGACTGTGGCTTCTGAATGTACTTTTACATGAGTCCTGAGGTTCAGTTATTCTGTGACAGCCTGGGAAGGCTTCCAGCGGGTGGTAGAAGTTTTTAGTTGTTTAATTGTTGGTTTTTTTTTTTAAGGATTTTTTTTTTATGTGCATTGCTGTTTTCCTGCATGTGTATCTGTTTGAGGGTGTCAGATCCCCTGGAGTTATAGACAGTTCTTTTTTTTTTTTTTTTTTTTTGGTTTTACGAGACAGGGTTTCTCTGTATTGTTTTGGAGGCTATCGGTCCAGCCTAGCCTCAAACTCACAGAGATCCACCTACCTCTGCCTCCCGAGTGCTGGGATTAAAGGCGTATGCCACCACCGCCCGGCTATAGACAGTTCTTAACTGCCATGTAGGTGCTGGGAATTGAACCCCGATCCTCTAGAAGAGCAGTCAGTGTTTTCAACCCCTGAGCCATCATCTCTCCAGCCCTTGTTTTTTGTTGTTGGAGACTGTGTCTCTTTGTGTAGCCCTGGCTGTTCTGGAATTCCCTCTGTAGACCAGGATGGCCTCATTTAGAGACTCACCTGCCTCTGACACCTAAGTGCTGGGATCAAAGGCGTGGGCCACCACTCACTGCCCAGGATAGTAGAGCTCTTGAGGAGCAGTTTTTCCAACTTTTACAAGTAGAAATCCATTTTAAAGTAAAACAGTTTAAAGACTGCCACATCCTAATGGTAAGGAAACCCGAAGCAATGAAATGCCTCTTAGAGTTTGATGTTATAATGGTGACTTTGCTGCCTGAAGGGTCATCCTGCCAAGGTGCTCAGAGACCCCCCAACCCCCCACCCTGTGTCTGCAGGGGCCTTTGTGTGAGTGTGTGCTACTCCTCATGGCAGACCCTGCTCACTCATCGCCTCTACCCTGTCTGTCACCCTCCAGACTTCACGAGAATGCAGGACATCCCGGAGGAGACAGAGAGCCGAGATGGGGAGCCTACTGCTTCAGAGAGCTAAGGGGACCCCACCCCCTGCCTGCTGCCCCACTGAAGAACATTAGTTAAAGGGGGCAAACCTTGGGGACTGCGTTCTGCCAATAATGAGGGAATATTTGAAAGAACTGCTGATTGTCCTTGCCAGCTCCTGAGATCCTTGGATACCTGGGGCCATATGGGACTGGGGATTTAGAGGCCACAGCACCCCTGGTGGCATCCAAGAGCTACACCACAGATGCCAATTTTTCATGCCTTCTTCCCTCTATTTAGGAAAAAATTATTTATTTATTGTCTATTGGTTATGGGGGAAACTGAGATTTAAAGGACCAGGGACATGGGAACCAAGCCATAGGGACCAGAGGGCCTTTCCTTTAGCACCACTGGGATTATGTTTAGGCTTAGCCACGTGGCTGCTGGCTCTAGCCTAACACCCACTCTAGTGATACCCATTTGTGGCCACAGAACCTACTGGCCCTTTAAGGAGGGCTGTGGGTAGGACCACGTCCCTTTCCCCACTCTCCTCAGCCTCCTCCTGCTCTTCTTTCTTCTTTTCATCCTCCTTGGAGACCTGGCCCCTTGGAGTTGATGGAGTAGAGGCAAGGGTGGCCGTGATGTATTGGGGTGGGGGAGGAAAAAAATCCACAGGGACCACAATGTTTTGTTTTTGTTTTCTTTTCTTTTTTGTACCAAAGTCAACTGCACGTGTTTTATATTTTTAAAAGAAGATTGTAGGCACTTCTAGCTCCATGTCTTTGAACTTGAGGAACTGGGGAGACAGTGACTTCTTTCACCTACAGTCAGGGGGCTCCTATTTGGAATTCTTCCTCAGCCATTTGAAAGAAGCTCCAAGGTGGGTTGGGAAACCTCTACGAACCTTCACCTCATCTGCCACCATGGCATCTACGGTTGAAATGTAAGCAAGAATGGGGGGGTTCAATGCAACCCTAATACCCACCAGCAATAGCCATTTGTCTGCCAATTTAATTGTTAAAAAAAAAAAAAGACAGAGACAGTAACAACAAAGAAAGAAAAGCTCAAGCAGGGAGAAATTAAAGACCTGAAACGCACGAGGTGCAGTCTCGATGGCCCGTTCTGGGGATTGCGGTGCCTGTAACCAGGCAGTGACTATGGTTGCTGTGAAGGGGCTGTCACTACCTCACTGACGAGGGCACTAAAAAGATGAAGCTGCCTAAACCTTTGTGAAAATCTCAAAATTACGAGGATGAAAATGGGGCAGCGCTCAGGCTTGGGGGGCCGTCGGTGACTCCAGTATTAGAAACTCGTTTGCATCTTATTTGTGTGCTGTGCTGGGTAGCACAGCTGGTTCCTTCCCCCTGCCCACCCCGCCATGTTTCCTTCCCATATCGTCAGAGCCGGGGGCTGCGTTCTCAGCCTGTTCACGCTGCCTCTTGGAAAGGCAGTAACTGGTTTCAGTTCTTGGTTTTGGTACATCCCACTTCCTGTTTCTGGGCTCTACACTTAGGCCATGGGGCAGGGTCAGTGTGTGGATAATCCCACAGCCTGGGAGGCAGGGTGAGAAGGGTCTCAGGACCCCATCTAAGAAGGAGAGTTGGAATTGCATGGGTAGCAGCTTTGAAGAGCTGCCAGCACCTTCCCCTGTCAGCCTCTGGCCCTTCCGAGGCACTTTCTATCCAATCATGGGATTCTTGGACCCTAGGGATTGTTTTGTATGTTTATTTATTCACTTTATTATTGTTTTTGAGACAAGGTCTTGCAATGAGGCCCAGGCTGGCCTTGGACTCTCATCATTGCCTCAGCCTCCCAGATGTTGGAATTACAGGCATGAGCCAGGATGCCTAGCCTCTGTTGTTTTTCATTTACACAATGGGTGCAAAAATGGCCAGGCCAAGAAGCCAACCCTCTGTCGCTCTACCTTACAAACATCTGCATATAGTTTCAAGTATCCTGATGGCTCAGTAGCCCTGTTCCAGGCAGCACTAAGCATGCAAAGGTCAAATAGAGGAGACTTGGTACAGTCAGGAGAAAAGGAATACAGTTTCCCAACATTCCCCTGGAGAATGGGGCCTGGAGACTGATTTCCAGTGTATGAGTTTGGAAAGGCTGGCTTGCTTCTGCTGTCTTATTACCATAACTCCACCCATCATCAGCCCAGGGACAGTCCCACTTTCCTGTCCTCACCCTGCCCCTAGGTCTTCCCCCTCCATAATTCCACTTTCTGAACCTGAAGTCCTTTTTGGTTTTTTCGAGACAAGGTTTCTCTGCAGCTTTGGAGGCTGTCCTGGAACTAACTCTTGTAGACCAGGCTGGTCTTGAACTCAGAGATCCGCCTGCCTCTGCCTCTGCCTCCTGAGTGCTGGGATTAAAGGTGTGTGCCACCACTGCCTGGCTATTGAGCCTGAAGTCTTAATTGTCCCCACTGCTGCCATTTCAAACCTCTGTGGCAGTGTGCTCTGGAAGCCAAGGTTCAGCTCCTTGCCTAAACCATGCAGTTCCCTTAGAGGAGGCTCCAGGTCTGGGCACCCATCTCTCCATTGACACACCCTTCTTTCCTCCACCCTGCTCCATCAAAAGTAGGGCTACACACAGTTACTTGAGTTGGCTTTGTCAATATTTACCGCAGGGGTTCTGTAAAGCAGATGCCCCCAGAGAAGACAATATCCGGCCCCAGCCAGGCCATTAGAGGCACTGCTGGAGCAGGAAGAATGCTTAAGTAGGGGAGGATATCCCACCTTCCTGGATGGCTAGGAATAGACCTGGCATTTTGGAACCAGTTTAAACATTATCAAAAAGAGGAAATTAAACATCAAGAGGCTAATTAAATCTCGTTCCCATCCTTTACTATGTTGTGAGTTGGGCGACTCTTCAAAGCTCCTGGGCAACTGGGTGGAAGAGGCAGTGGCGCCTGGAGGTACTGTGGCTTCCCTTCCTAGGGCTCTGCCATCCTGGGACTTCCAGTGGCTAATCATATCCTGGTTACCAGCATCCCCAGAGCCTGGTCCTGAAGGGAGGGGATGGAGTAGGAGCTCCATCCATCTGCTGCCTCCCCTTCATGCCAGAAGTGGCCCCCAGCAAGCTCCTTCCTCGTGGACATCTTAGTTCATTATGGTTTTAAATGAAGGGGATGCTCTGCTCAGGAGGCGTCTGCAAAGGGGGCTTTGAAGGACTAACCCTTACTAGTGCCGATCTCTTCCCAGAGCTTGAGGTTGGTGTCATCCTTGGCATTTCACCTGGGTTTTTGAGACCAAGTATGTCACCAAAGTTAGAGCTTGCTGATTTGGCTAGAGTGACCAGTGAGTCTCAGGGATCTTCCTGTTGATTTTGTTGGGTTTTTTTGTCTTGTTTTTTTTCGTTTTTTGCTTTTCAAGACAGCATTTCTCTGTAACAGTCCTAACTGTCCTAGAAATTGCTTTGTAGACCAGGCTGGCCTTGAATTCACTGAGATTTGCCTGCTTCCGCCTCCCAAATGCTGGGCTTAAAAGGCGTGCACTACCACTGCCTGGCCTTCCAGGGCTTTTAAATATGGGTGCTGGAGCTTGAACTCAGGTACCTGGCCCATTTGCTCCGCACACTTTGCCCACAGCCATCTCCATGTATTTGCTTTTATTATTGTTTCTAATTTTAGGAAGTGTTAGTATGTGTGGTGACATGCATGTCAGAGCACATGTGTGGAGGTTAGAGAACAGCTTTGCATACTTAGGTCTCTTGGTCTGCCTTTATGTGGGTTTGGCAGTCCAACCAGGGTGCCAGGCTTGTATACTATGCATTTTCCTTGTCCTTGCTGGTCCTTTAAAAATTACTTTATCATGTATGTATGTCTATGATGTGCATGTATGGATGTGCATGACCAGATTATTTTATATTTTTGGTTTTGGATTTGGCTTTTTGAGACAGGGTTTCTGTGTAACAGCTCTGTCAGTCCTGGAACTTGCTCTGTAGACCAGGCTGACCTCAAATCAGAGATCTACCTGACTGTGCCTCCTGAGTGCTGGGATCAAAGGCGTGCACCACCAGCATTTGGCAACCAGATCTTTTTCTATACTCCATAAACCAGGACAAGACCTTGATGGCTCTCTTATACCTGTCTGTCAGCTGTCCGTATTACTTCCTTTCCAAGGTGCAAATAATAATAACCCTGCCTCTGGCACTGTTGAATCTTCAACAGCCTTATATTTTTGAGACAGTGTCTAGCCTAAGCTGGTCCTGGACTCTTTATGTAGTTTTGACAGATCTTTTTTTTTTTTTTTAAGATTTATTTATTTATTACCTATACACCAGATTGAATTGTAGATGGTTGTGAGCCACCATGTGGTTGCTGGGAATTGAACTCAAGACCTCTGGAAGAGCAGTCAGTGATCTTAACCTCTGAGCCATCTCTCCAGCCCCCGACAGATCTTGAATTTAAGAAATTAGACAAGCATTACACCAACTGAGACAAGCATTACACCAACTGAGATATAATGTCTGGGCACTTACCCCACACACATATACATATTTTTTTTTTCAAATTAGAAAAAAATTTGACAGCTGGGTGGGGTGGCATACACCTTTAATCCCAACACTAGGGAGACAGCGAATCTCTGAATTCAAGGTCGGCCTATTATACAGAGTGATTTCCAGGACAGCCACAGCTATACAGAGAAACCCTGTCTCAAAACAAAAGCATGTGGAAGATTTAGAAAATTGCTTCAGCAGGAGCTGGAGAGAACAGAGGTTAAGAGCACTGGCTGATCTTTCATAGGATCCAGGTTCAATTCCCAGCACCCACATGGCAGCTCACACCTGTCTGTAACTCCAGTTCCAGGAAATCTGACACCCTCACATAGACATACATGTAGGCAAAACACCAATGCACATAAGCTAAAAATAAATTATATATTAGAAAAAACCAAAACTAAAGCCAACAAATATTGACCAGCACACACTAATACACACCGATACACCACACAACCATCAAGAAAAATGCTGAACAGGTAGAGGTTCTTGCTACCAACCTTGATAGTCTCAACTCAATCACTGAATCTCAGACGGTAGAAGGAGAGAACAGACTCTAATCTGCCCTCTGGTCTCCACAAGCACATGTCTCCTTGCCCAAACTAGTGTAATTTTTAAAAGTAAGATCGAGGTGTGGTGACACGTGCCTATAGTCCCAGTACTTGGAGGCAGAGCCAGGTGGATCTCTGATCTGCACAGGGAGTTCCAGGTCAGCCAGGGCCATGTAGTACAGCCCTGTTTCAGAGAGAGAAAACTGAAGAGACCTTATGTCTGCATGTGACATCCACATGTGCAAGTGTGGACACACACAAACGTTTGCATACACAAGAATGAAGAAAAAGGAGAGGAGGCAAGAATAAACTAAAAAGCTAAATGTGTTGGCACATGCCTATAATTCCAGCATTTGGGATCAAGATTAAAGAGTTCAAAGCTACATAGTTTGAGGCCAGCCTGAGTCTCATGAGACCCTGTCTCCAGTTTAAAAAGAAACTATGTAACTTGGCTGGCTCTCAGGTAGACCTCAGATGTATATGGTGAGTGACTAGCCTTGGTTTCTGATTCTTGTGCCTGATCCTCCCAACCTCTTCTGTGTCTCACCTCTGTCCACCCACCCATATATTCCCCTTGTAATTGTCTCCTTTAACGCTATTCTTGACAGGCTGCATATCCAGTGCCTCCTGACAGGTACTGGAGATCCCAGCAAACCCCACCCTGGCATCTTACGGCATCATTTCTATGGGTTGATAAAAAGCCAAGTGCTAGAGAAGCCATGTTTGGTTTTGGTACCAAAGAGACATAATGGATGCTGTATTCTCAGTTTGTTTTGCCACACCCACCTTCGGCTTGGGCTCCGGCTTCTAGGTCCTGCCACACCCAGAGTTGATGGTTAAAGATCAGACTTTTCCTGGGGACCCTGCAGCCTGGCAGAGAGGGCACCTTCTCCCCAGAATCTGTGGGCTCTGCCCCTGTGGATGTCAGAAAAGGGTGTGTCCGGGTTGCATCCTTCATCCAGGTATCCCTTTGGGTTTGTGGTGGAAGGACTGCTCCGGTGGATGCTGGCTGTCCATCTTCTACCTACCTCCTTGAGGGCCATTTGTTCCGCACAGGCCTTGCTCTGGGGCCACAGTCTTGACCAAAGATCCCTGAGGGAGCTGACCAGCACCTGCCGAGGCTTGCGCCGGAGGAGGCAGTAGATCACAGGGTTGAGGCAGCTGTTGCTG